GCGGATACGGCGTCCGTTCGCTCCCCTACTTTCCCAACTTGAGCTGTCCTTGCTCCCTCCCTGTCTACTTTGACCACCCGCTAGGAACTTCATATCTTTGAGTAACTAGGAGTAAAAAGAGGTTTTTTCTCGATGACAACCCATACTTAATGGGAAATTGACTAATTTCCTGAGAAACCCATCATCAGTTACCCCAGCAGTCTTTCTCTGGATATTGAAAATCTAAAGAATGCAGAGGGGTTTTCACGGTTCTAAAATATACTGCAGTAAAAGTTACTCATGTGTAATCTCATCTATTTCATCAATTTCAATCACAGTCCATCAATAATGCCCTCTGATTCATTAATCACCAGCTGTTTCGTGCAGAAACCACGGCGATATCATGATCCCGGGGAAATTCCAGTTTCCTAGCCCACCTTCAAGCCTTTGGCGGATCTGGTCCCTGGTTTAAAGGCTCCGAAAAGCATTAAATGACTTTGTTTTTATTACTATGATATGATAAAAATAGATAGGAGGGTTCTTTGCTGGCATATAGTTGAGTTTTATGGCCCATGGAAAAGCTTTACACTGATCATTCAAGTGCAGTCAGTGTGGTTGTTGTTGTTGTAGCAGTGTCTGCTTTGCTCAAACTTAAATTTGATTTTGGCTTCCGCTTCCTTTGTGGAATTGCTTCCTCCTTTCTTTGTGGATTCTCTAGTAGATGTATCTAATATTGATCTCCTGGTCCCCCAAAGGAGTTAGGATTCTACTTCTGAAGATTCTGATGTCGATCGTTGTCCTACCTGCTCGGGCATCCTCCACGAATCTCGAAGCAGCATAGATGGAATGATCCCAAGTAATTGAACTTGTAAATGGCTTCATAGCTTCAGAACGGAGGTCATCAATCATTTGGACATATTTTGGCAACTCCACTCACTCGAGAGGAAATGGGAAACTTCCCGAGCGTCGTTACAGTGGGTCTATCGACATCAAGGGCGAGAGCTCATTTAGAACAGACCACAAATGCTCTGTGCTGTAATGACGACGCATGAAAAGTACCAGTAAGTAAGGGATTATGGTGTTTTACCTATTATTTGCACGGTCTCTATGATGAGATACAATTCGGTGAAGCCGATCGCATAGCATACAGCCTGACTTAACCCTTCCTCCAGTAGGAGCACAGGTTTAACTTCTTCGTTAAGGTAAAGCCAACCAGCCCATCCATATGATTGTGCAGTGGTGAGTTGAGCCTAAGTTCCAGGCGCATGCGTAGGTTTGACCGAATCTTTTCCCCTTTTCTCCTTAAGTGTCATTCCGCCGAGTCAGCCTCAGGAATGAATCCTGGCAAGAGCTTGACTAGACCTCCATTCAGTGCTCATTTCAGTTTCAGCTTCACGCAGCAGAGCGAAAATGTTCAAGTTAGCGGTAGATCTCGTGCGTTAGAAGGAGCCGTCAACATGTCGTCTTACAACATTCGTCGTTGGCATGTCAATCCTTCCAAATCGAATAGCGCACAAGTGAAGGAAAACATCACAGGATAATGCAATGAAATGGAATCTGCGGTTCGTTGATGGCTGAGGTGACGACGACGACAACGACGACGACGACGAGCGATTGAAAACAGAACGACGACGAAGTAGAAGTCATCAACGAGGTTCTAAGCGAAAAGCACACATTCGTATCTACACGTACGTATCCTCCCTACCCTTGATTCTACCCTTTTTCTCTTCCAAACCTACAAATTCACAAACCAACGAGAACCACGCTCCACGCTTGACTGACATAGAGTGCCCGATTCCCCCTCAATGTGAAAATCTCACTTTTCCTCCTTGATTCCACCAAACTCTCTGCTGGAATTGCTATATCCGGAAGCAATGGCTGTTTTCGGTTGCGAGAAAGTGCCAACCAGTCGAATCAGAATTTCTTACCCCCCTAGCCTCTGCTGTTCGACAAACTTTTTCCTTAAACGGCATACATGTCATTAGCAAGCTGGAGCACTTCAACTGGTGGCCAATACCTCAATGAGCATTTTTAATAACCGCTTCTCGACTTTCATACTTTCGGTGAAGTTAAATGTGTGGCGCACACTGAAGTGATTTACCTATCAATCTGGACCATCAAGACTTAGTATTGTTGTAATAAATATGCTTGTTGTTTGTTTGTTTATAGAACTCTAAAAGTTCAAGTAGAAGTATTCTCAGGTAAATCAATGATTTCATTTCATCCCGGCAGTTCCCATAATGGAATCTAATGAGTTGGATGATGTACTTTAAAATGCGTATCGATTTTTTGTGGGCACCTTTAACAGATTTGCGAAGTACAGTACTAGTGCTGACACTTCTAGTTCAAGTGCATACGGAAAAGTGCTACAACTACATGTTATTAGATTTCCCCTTGCCACTTCGTCAATTGCAACGAAGTTTGTCCTGAGGGCCAAGTTAACTAGACAAGTGGTCATACTTTGGTGTGGAAGGCTGAACTCCCAGACCGCAAGTGTGAATAGCACCGCCCACGTACGTCAGGCAGAACCCGTGATATCGCCGGACCCCTGGACTTGCTACTTTTACTTTTTTTTTACAAAAATATCAGTCTATTCGAAGCACCACCCAGTTCTCCAGCAAACGATCGCTGGCCATATCTCGACCATTTGGTCCCAACGATTCAGCGCTAACCTGTGCTTCAGTTCGGCTCCGATCCCGATAGACCATAATTCATGGACGCTGGAACATCGTGTGCTTGAACATACCAACAGCTGCTGCCTCTACTAGACCCCATCTTGTCGGCCTTGTGAGAAATGGGTTTCCTTGACGTTCTCTGTTCCTTAAGACCGTTCGGCGCCCCAGATCAACTGATGACCCTAAACTGATATCAGGTCAAAATAACTTGCAATTTAGCAACTTTCTGAACATTTAAAAACTGTTCAACAACGTTTTTACGGTCCATTCTACCCTAGGGACTTGACCAACAGACGGGAAATTCAGAATTATCCCAAAAAAGCAACAAAACTTTCATCTATATACGGAATATATAGGGCATTACACTTGATGGCATTGCCCATTGAATTGTTTTATTTGATAATCGATTTTCCCATTCTACTTACTAGTATTAAGTCAACCCATATATAATGGAGTACTTCTTTATGTATGACCTAGAAGGTACTGGAAGTGGCGGAAAAAAAAACACCTGCAACAATTTGCAGCTAATTACTTTCAGCTACATGCATCAGCAAGTCCAAAGTTGTCCTTACTTTNACGAGTTTTCTTCTTGAAGTCCGGCATAGCTTGATACAGAATGTCCTGAAATCACAATCAGCAGTAGTAAAAGCTCAACTACGAAAATCTCGTCCGGACAGGAGAAGAAACTGCTTCTTTTTAGGGGATGAGAGTTATGGAGATTAAAAACTGCATTATTTATAGATTTTTTATAGATTTCGAATGGATAGGCAAATATACTTGTTTTTACTGTAATCTCTTAGAAGTATAGGACCGGAATAACGTTGTTATGCATTGTTTGAATTATTACGATGTCACGAAATCGCTGAAATGTGATCCGTTTTCAGAATGTCTTCGGAGTCTGCTCTGGCTGACACTGCTGAGTGTAAACACGAAGCTATCTGTTCATGTTCACAGTTATTATCTTTGTGACAACTAACAATGATTGATTGCCAACGTTCTTGAAGTCTCTGACTTTCTCTGGGGCACATCTGTTCTACGGGGGACGTCACAGAAGGACGAAAGCATGGGAGTGCATCCTATTGGACTATGTCCATCAGATAATTTCAAGTATTCCCTGGCTTATTAAGAGATATCGAGCCCTGTTTGGTTTTTGCTCTTTCAAGTGGGGCTTCCATGACCCTCACTAAGAAACCCACCACCTTACCAGTTCATTTGACACTGTAAAAACTACTTTTTACTAGCCGGAAGCGTTGCAAGTAGATAACAAACTGGGAGAGCTTTTTCCTAGGAGCCATTCCGCTCAGAGCGGCGGTGAAGTTTGAAGAAACAACAATGATGTCTTGATGCGTTCTTGATGGTTTTTCATTACGACCATCGTTCTACGACAATTCAATGGCATCGATGACGTCATTGGGCTCATTGATACGGACCCCCCGGGCAGCAAGTGGTCCCCAGGCGGGCCAGGGCCGCCCGACTTCGGCACGTGTGCATTGCCTCCGGCTAGCAATCGATCGCGCCGCGCCCCATCGAGACTAGCTAGACCTGAATTGTGGCCGAACCCTTCAAACCTACCTCCTCCATCTTCGGCTCTCTTCAGCTTCTACCATCGCTCCTCCCTTGTGCTTATCCCCATCCATGTGGGGATTATCCTTAAGCACCTATTGCACTTTGTGGTTCCCAACGTTACTTTCCATGAAGTAACAAGAATCTTTAACTTTTACTGGAAACACCAGAAAAGTATTCATTTTCACTATAACGAGTTGCCCTGCACTTTTTCATTCCATTTCCTATTCATTTCCCTCTGTACTCTGATGGCCCTTTTGTCACAGTTTTTTTTTCGGGCTCGGAGTCAAACGTGCTCGAAAACTCTTTAACCAGAGTATCTTCTAAGGCATGTTTTCGCTTGCAGTATGCTGCTACTCGAATTTTTCTCTTTCTTACTATTCCTTTGAGCAAAAACTCTTCATTTCCTTTTTCCCATTAGTTTAATCAGTATGATTCCGTCCACAATGCAAACATAGGAGGAGAAAAAATGGTCTTTCTTGGGCTTTTCATTGTGTCTTTGTATGAGAGAGGTGGAAAACAATATCTCAAATGCGTTGTTGCCTTTTTGCATGTAACTTATCTTGTACTTGAAATGTACTAGACGAGACTCACTCAGTCAATTTCATTATTGCGATTCTCGTGTGACAGACAGACGTGGCCGCCGTCGTTTGGCGTTCACAACACGTACACGTTTCTATCCGTAGACGTTTTTTTCTTTCTTGGGAAGTTTCCACCCTTCTAAATTCCCCGTTTCAGCGGTTGTGGCTCGTTGTCGGACTGGGTATGGTGTGAGCGGTGGCGATGTTACTGTACTATTTTGCGAGCGCCGTTAAGTCGATACAGTTCCATGTGGACGATGATATCATCGATAAGCTCAACTACTACTATACAACAGCCATTATTACCGGTAAAAATTACTAGTTATTAGCTGATTATTATACCCTCTTTTTGACTTGTTACTTCTACAACTTCTACTTGTGCGCCGCTGTCATGGATTGCAGCTTCTCACACTGATATTTCCGGCAAAGTAACTTTACCGAAGTATTTCCGAGAAAGTCTATTAAGCTAGAAGTTAGGGAAGAGTCGCATTGTTCAGCTTTACTAGTGAATTACCAGTTTTCTGCCCAGCCTATTCATGATGATAAGAATTTCATTCGCATTTCTGACAACCTCACCAGCAACTTTCAACTAAACGAGAGGATTTACTTGAGTAAATGACTCTGCCACAGTAGCAGTAGACTTAGGGAATCCCAGTAATTTGGGAATATCCAATCTAGACCCGGAGGAAAGCCATCGGAAACCCCGGTAAGGAGCTACGTTTAACTGCATTCTGGCGTGCACAATTGGCCATGTGGGGCTGCTACCATAACCAAATCAGTCCGGACCTAACAATTACGAGCACGGGCGCACTTTGAAACGAAGAATCGCGACATCTGAATTGCATTACCTCGTCAAGTCTCTCCTCATTTCAACAGCGTCCGCCAAGCACTCCCCACCCTTTCCCCCCAGTCTACCCCCACGTCGCGGGGTCCTCCCTCTCGTTGTCGCAGTCCTCGTTGTCGTATTGAACTCGTCAACGGGACTACAAATGGGGTTATTGGAAAGAATTTTGCTGCAGTTTTTCTAACTGGTAACAATCCGAAGCTCTTCCAAACTGAAACAAAATTACTTCACACAAGTCAAATAGGTAAAAAAACATAATGGGGGATGTCCTTGGCAGATGTTAAAGTGGTTGGTCGAAACCTGATGGGGCCTGATGGATGCTTTCGGACTTGTTTATCAAGTCTAATTTTCGGAAAGCAATAAAGAAATAGAGCGGAGGGAATGACCTGGAAAAGGGTAACCTGAGAACTAATACAGCATCATCAATTGGGTTGCTTTTACGGCGAAGGGGAAGAAATTGAACCCACCCACATGCTTGGAGATTGACGGCCTGGTTCCATTACTTCCCTGGAGTGGATGGGTTTATGGCAAAGTATAGGATACTGATGATATACTACTAAAATTATAGTCTAAGATGGAGTTGTAGAATGAAAAATTAAGTTCGACCGCCATTGGGGACGTTGGTCCTATGGGGTGCCAAGCAGATCGGACTCTTAATGGATGAGGGCCTTACTACTACTTTCCAGACATACCCCACAACCACTCTACTACATCTGTGGAGTGCGTAAGGAGACGTGTGTGATTGAAATCTGTCGGAAAACGTGAGGAACTCTCTCGTCTTGGGTGACATACACGCGCACACAATTCGACTTGGGAGAATTCTCCGGGGATCCCGGAATCACACTAATCACTCCAGTTCTTCTCCAGTTATACGACTCTTGAAAAGAATAGCATGCGATCGGAAAACGTTTAGCATTTCACGGGACATCTGGTCTCAATATGCCCAAAGAGCCCTTCGTCAAGGGCCAAAAATATGAACCGCCTAGCTTTTTATTATATTGCGCTACCAACCGGACAGAGAAAAACCTTAAAGGACGAATTCCACAGTCTGCTTCAAGAGGAGTACCCTGAAGCGATTTGGCCATACCTCTTTTTGCCCTTTCTCAGGGGCTCCTTCTTGAAACACGCACCTACTTACTTATGTGAAAAAGTAGTTATAAGTTCTTGGAGGGAAATCGTTTACTTTCGCTTCCCTTCTACTTTATAGCCTGACCTAGAAGGGCAGAGGAGCCCATTTCCTTTATCGCCTATAAGGGTGAAAACAGACAACAGACACTCGCTCGTCATACCTCCTTGACGTTGAGCGTTTTTGACTAGTACGACCCAATTTCCATGAAAAAGGACATCCATAGGACAGGGATAGGGCACAGCTTTTACCAGTCCTTTCAGCAAAGGTAACACCTTAGTCGAAGGGCTCGTTTTACCAATCACGCCGGAAAGGGGGATCGAATTATGCCGTCATCATCAAAGGCTATACCCTCATGGATCCGCCGCTTGCCACCAAATAAAGTTGAAAGTGGTAACTCTCAAGATCAAGGTGTACGTTTATCGATGGCTCTGTACGAATCTGTTCAGGAGTGAAAGCATGAAATATTTCGATATCTGATTTGAGCGCTTCAACATTTCTCCTAGCTCCTTTTTCAACTTGTTTTGAAACTGCGGAATTTTTTATTTACCTAGCGCCTCCCCCTAAATTACGTGAAAAACACTTCCTCGTCCGGGCCTTTCTCTTCGCTTCGTGGTTTCCGGGAATATTTCCGCGGCTCATTTATTCAGAAGAAGTGCGCACCAAGAAAATTAGGTATGCCACATAATAAACGCTATTGTTCGGCTTTGTTCCGCAGTTTGCTTGAGTCTCCAGGCAGTAATTATATGGTTTCAATATAAGGCATGTAAATTTCAAGGCCTCCTCTCCTCTAAAAGCTTTCTAATACTAAAGGAAACCAAAATCCAAAATCCAAAAAAGGCAGTTTCCTTCTCTTCCCAAGGACGCCCTCGGTCGAAACGGAAGTGCCTCAGGCAAACCCACCCTATTTCTTACGTTCCTTCCGTTCAAAATGTCGTTCTCAAAACGGAAATTCGATGTAATGTTAGTAATACTGCGTTAGAGCGGCTTTTACAAGTAAAAATACTTTATGTGATTCTGTGCGGGAGAGGTCCTTTTCTCCCGAGTGCAAGACAACCCTTAAAAGAAGGGCAATCTCATAAAGGTACGAGAGGAAGTTTCGAAAATCAATAAATGTGGTTATTTCTATAATATACTCTGAAAACCTCAAAGAAAATAACTGATCATGTAATTTTCAGTGTTTGCCATACTCGTCTCAGCCAAGCAGTATGTTGGTGAGTTACCAGTTTTTCATTTCATTTTTGAAGTATTACTGGTATAATTAAGGGACTAGTTTTGAACTAAACGGTACACTCAATTTTGAGTGCTCAAAAGAATACGATTTGCAAAAAAAAATCGAAAGATTTTTTAATCCTGTGCTACTGCCCGCAATTGAAATTCCTTCCTCTCCTAGTTAATTATAACCCTTTACCACTTTTTATTACTGAGTCTAATGGCTACTATGAAAGAAGAACGATAGAAACATTTTTCTTCGCCTTCCAATCCAATTTCACCTTTTTTTCTCAGTAGTTGGGAGCTCTCGTGATTTCTGTCTTTGGGAGTAAGAAAGTAGTAAGAAAACCTCACTGGCAGATTTTTTGTTGCCGATGCAACACATTTGCACTATTCTCCCAAAAAGCTTGTAGGTATTGTAGTAAAACTACTAGTATAAAGTAATTTTACTCATAATAATAAATAACAAATAATAATAATAACAAATAATAGTTATAATAACGAATAGAACAATAATTATAAAGCTATTAACAGGGTAGAGTTGCAAATGCAGTAAAACGATCTCGATGGTACCAGATTTGAAACGGAAAATTTCGCGGTTTTTCACATCTGGCTCTTATCCAACTTATAAAGACTTTTTAGGATTTCCAATACAGTGCTGGGTACCGGCAACTTTTACCGAACCCATGGAACAATACACGGAAAATTATTGTTGGGTGCAGAATACGTACTTTTTACCATTACACGACTACATACCGCATAATTATGCGGAACGAGAAAATCGACAAATCGGGTTTGTTTTTGAAATTGAATGTTCAACGTCTTTCCCCCTAATCAATTAATGTAAATACACAAATAAACATACAAAAATGCATAAATATTTACACAAATAAACATACAAAAATACATAAATAATTTAGGTATTATCAATGGGTACCATTTGTGTTAGCCTTGGAAGCATTATTATTTTATGTTCCAACGATCGTTTGGAGGTTATTAAGCTGGCAGTCAGGTTTGTCATCCTGCTCATCTGTTTTCGATTAGTTTAAATATTTTGTATAAAAACTAGATTTATCTTACTTTATTAAAGGAACCTAATGACAAGAAGTGTTATTTACTGCAAGATTTATATTTCAATTGTCATACTATTACTTTTTACCAGATCTAACTTTATTACTAATAGAATTACTTGCTCTTATCAGTTTTGGAGTGGGCCTTACCCTTTGGGAAAAGAACTTAAGTAACCAGGACTATTTGGAATTCCTTGAGTATGCTCTTTGAGATGAAGGAGGCTCTGAGTGGAGCTATAAAGTACAACTCCAAAGTAGGGCAGAACAGTAAACATTCACCCATATAATGAAATTTGCATCTTCAAATTTAGGTTCTCCCTACTTGTACTTTTAGTCCACTGAACCAAATTAACGTGAAAGCCTCAAATTTAGCCAAGCGCTTGTAACACTGAAAGTCGAACCTTCGTTTCATTCAATGCAAAAACATTTGGGCACTCAACAACCCCCCCCCCCCTTGGCTTTTTCCGTGAAAAAGATTTTCCTGAAGAGTGTTCTTCTTGCATTATTACGTCACCGAGTTCATGTTGATGTTTATCCAGAACACAACCAATAAATATTTGCAATTTATTGCCCGTGGAAAACTCGTCCATTCCACAACCATTTATGATTTGTTTTCCCCTAACACACATGGCTATTGTGTACGTGTGAGAGAGACGGCTGTGAAGCATAGAATTCATCGGTATACTACAAACCTACTGACTTACTTTGAAGCCTAGTAAGTGTAGCATCAAAATTGAAAACATCAGAACAATTAATTGAATTCCAAATCGATGTTCAAGCGTAAGAGCTTGAAGCTGTTTTGACAAGGAAGCAGTAATTTATTATGCATATTTCTTATTTGTCCCCTAAAACGCACTCGAAGACTACTGCGTGGAGTGAAGTAAACTAGTAAGGAAGCAGAAGTTATCCAGGGGCTTCAGAAGGATAAATAAAATACAGTACATAATTACAAGTATTACAAATAATAGAAGGAATGTCTCATGGCATGTTTATTGAGTGAAATTCACAAACACTTCTAAAGTAAAAAACTGGGTAACTAGTAAAGTTAAGGAGGTGGAGTTTTGAAGCAAGCAGATATCAATCTACACCAGATTTAGTGAAGGAGAGGAACGTTTATTACCAAATGGCGCCAAAATAAGCAAATACAAAAATTTACTGCTAATTATCAAGTGAAACGAATTGTACTAATACCTGTATTGTGGCTGAAAAGACTCAATAAATTCACAAAACTCACTAGCTGCGGTTAAGTCAATTTGGAGAATGCAGTAGCAAAAGGTGTTTACTAGTTTATCCCGTACCGTTTTCTCGTAATTATTACCGATTCAAAGGGTCAGAAAGAATAATGTGATATACTTGATACATATGTATCTCGTTTTCCTATTTTTTCAAATTCCCAACTTTTCACAGGCACGAAAAATTGCTTTGAGACTTTGCTTCTGAAAAGCGTGGCTATCCCGAAAAGCTCGTACTTGTCCATTCGAATTAAGCAGTAATCATTCAGTAGTCCCTGTGCTATATAGTGAATTGGAGTATTGGCAGAGGCAAGGACTACGACATCCCAAGGGCAGATGATAGCCTACTTAGAAAAATCGGTTATTGCAGGAGCCCTCGTGGCTGAAAAATATCTCCAAGGGAAGTCGCTCACATCATTTGCGACTTTTGAGGAGAAAAAGAAAAATTTTCAGCAAAATAGAATCCTAAAAAGGGCCCAATCTGAACGAAAGAGCAGGGGAGAGCTGTGAGGGAGCGACATCGCCAAACTAAACCAGGAACAAGTTGCAATAGCCTCTAACTTGAAAGTTAATTTTACTTTTTTATGACAATTTAGTAATGACGTTTTAAAGCTACTAAAATATTTCTTTTCTTGTAAGGATTACTATGTGACATTTCTTCTAGAGAAATCCACGTCTGAGCCAACTTCTGTTTCAATTTCTTTTTTTTCGTTTTTCAAAACACAGCCACCCTGAAATTAGGTATTAAGGATCACATTTCAATATCAGTGGCCCATTTTTACACTGTTTTGAAAGTGTTATGACCCATTTTTCACTTTTTTTTCTCTAAAATTTACAAAAAAGGGTATTTTTGGATTTGTTGAGTTATTAGCATACTTTCATTGTTCATTACCACCGAAATTCATGCATATGGGGGTTTTTCAGGGATTCATGTGCAGTCACTCGTGCAGATGGCTTGTGATTCAAGACTACTGGATTTGGAGTCGCGGAATCGAGCACTGCAAACGATTGCTACCAACGTTGAGGAAGCTTTACACGTCAAGCACCAAGTGGTAAAATTATCCAAATTATGGAAAAATCCTCTGAGACCGCTCTTACTCGAAAGTATCATTACTACTTATTACTGCTTTAACCGCCACCAGCAAGCCGCATCATCTTTTCCTGCTCGATTCTTTTCACTTCTTTTTAACCCAGACGTTGCTTTCAAACTCAATTCGGACCTTAGGGCCGCCTGAGTTAGGTTTCATCCNATTACTACTTATTACTGCTTTAACCGCCACCAGCAAGCCGCATCATCTTTTCCTGCTCGATTCTTTTCACTTCTTCTTAACCCAGACGTTGCTTTCAAACTCAATTCGGACCTTAGGGCCGCCTGAGTTAGGTTTCATCCACATTGCTTCTCTCCAAGGCCTTCTTTTCCGTTCATTTTGTAGAGCAAATCCACTGTGAACCGAGAGTGACCCCCTCTTCCCCTATTCTCCCAATATTGTTACTATTCCTGGTTGTTTACCAAACATAGTGGCGTTTCTGACATAAAAACGACGCCACTCAGATGAGTGAGTATACATCAGGCAAGCTCATTTCAAAACATCTAATTAGAAAGAAAAAACTCTCATCTAGTAAACCGCCACTGCCTACTGCTATTTTAGAATTCACCGATGATCTATCATCGCGTTCATGAAAAAGGGAAATAGAAGAAAGGGATATGGCAACGTTTTAGCGTGTTTCACAAGTACAAGGGAGCCCATTGAGCATTGAGTAGTCTCTTTCCCCTTTTGCAGTAACAAACCTGAGTTCCTACGTTTCAAGGAATTCAACAGGTCCGGTCTTTACTGGTCCAATAAGTTCTCAGGTTCCCTCAGAGGTTTTTGAGTAAATCCTTGACAATCATATGCCCAGGAGGTACCGCCGAATTGTGTCACTGGCACCTTTACCCTTTCCCAGCTTCTAATCGATAACCGGCCAGCCACCTTCTTCATTCTAAGACTTTTGTCAGGATTTTCGAAATNAATCGGTCAAAATACGATTCGTAATACGACACGATGGAAGCATTCAGCTTGAATCTCCCGCTATTTCTTATATCGGGGCCACCTGCGCTCATTCGGAAGCACATGTTGAATTGGTTCGCTGACGATTGCCTTTATTACGCGCCGCATGCGCGCGATTGCCGCATGCGTCGTAATAAAGTCGCTCGTTTCACGACTACTACTTACCTATTCATTGGAAGAAAATGAACGATACACTTTGAATTGCCACATGTTACTGCCTAAGATAGCTTTTTGCACTTCAAACAGTATGGTCCAAAAAAATTGGGTCATCGAAAGCACTTGTAGTAAATTTTGTTCCAAAAAAAAAATTCCTGGAAAGTTAGAACCAGATTCTGGATACGACGGGACTCTTTGGCGTGCCTGAGCGCCTCAAAACAATCCAGTTATTAGGTAGGACTTGGGAAGTAAGAGACCAATTTACCGACTAAGTTTTTACCAGTTATGAAACCCATCAAGTAAAGTTTGATGTTGCTGAGCTCGAAACTTTTCTATCAGGCTATAGGTGACAAGACGTCAAGAGACTGCATTGCCATCCAGTATGACAGCATTGTCGCTGTGAAGGATGAGCTTTGCTCAAGCTGTTCCGATTGACGTGTTCCAATTCAGAAATGTCCTTCAAAACGCTAAAATCGGACATCTAAATGTCGGAATTCCTTGACAGAGATTTGACTGCGCATTGTGCGGGGAATGACAAGTTACTTGTTAAGATGGTCCCTTTTGACGTCCCGTAACTAGTTTTACTCACAAAGTAATACAATTGAAAGCCTAGCCTCAAATTATCAAGTGAACCATGAGCACTTGAGCATTCCATATTGAATTCCTTGTGGTGTTGGTGGTGGAGTGGTTTTCGATTAGCTGGACTTCCATCACCCTCCCCTCTCCCCC